CGCGGAGGCTGAGCTTCGTGTGTTCAGGGAGCAGAAGGAGGCGGAGGTGGCGAGGTGAGGCGGGTGTGCTTGCTTGGCAGGAGGCACGCGGGCTGGCGGCCTCGCTGCGGGTCGGGAGGTGCGGCACGGGGCTGCGCACCGGGCCTGGCGCCCAACACCCCATTCCCTGCCCTGCTTGGCAACACCCCCTGCCTGCCCTGCATGCAGGCTGGTGCGGATGCTGGATGCGCACCAGGAGGCCAACCGCGAGCTGCAGCGGGCGGCGCTGCTGCTGCAGGAGGCAGAGGCAGGCACGCGCTCCGGCTGCTGCTGCCGCCGACTGCATGTGCCTGCTGCTGCTGCTGCTGGCGCCTGGCTGGCGGGCAGAGGGGCCGTGGCTGAGGGTGGGGGTGCCCAGCTAGTTAGTTCCCTGCTGGCCCACCACCTCACACCACGGGCCTCGCAAGACTGTCTATGCGCCACTGTCCCACCCGCCGCCGCCCCCTGCGCCCCACTCGCCCGCAGGCTGGCTGCCGCTGTGGGCGCAGCGGCTGGTGCGCCGCGGCGTGTCTGCCGCTGCCACCAGGGGCGGTGCGGTGCAGCAGCGGCTGGCTGGCCACTGGGCTGCCGCACAGGCGGCTGTGCACAGCCGCATGGGGCCGGCGGCGGCTCGGGCGCAGCACGCGGCGGCCACGCTGTGGGCTGCCAGGCTGCGCCCCGCTCTGGCCAGGTCGGTGCACCGCTACGTGGAGCTGGAGGCGGCGGCTCTCCGCGGCATTGCCACCGCGGCGCGACGGTGCCGCGCGGCGGCGGCGCAGGCGGCGGCGCAGGCGGTCGCGGCCAAGGCCGCCGCCGACGCGGCGGCCCTGCGCCAGCTGGAGCGCCTGCCCCTGCGGCCCGGCCTGGCCACTCCCCAGCTGGCGGGCGGGGCTGTGTGGCTGGCGCTGGGCGCCGCCGCGCTGCCCGTCGCTTGGGCGCTGGCGGCGGCGCTGGCCCGCGCGCTGCTGTTCCGCCTGCGCCCCGCCCGCCTGCGGGTGGAGCGCCCCGGGGTGGAGGCGCTGTCGCGCCTGCAGGGAGCCCTGGGGTACAGCTGGAGGAAGCAGGAGGCGTTGCAGGAGGCGCTGGGAGGCGACAGCCGCGGCGCCACGGGCAGGCTGGCCTGGCTGGGCTCCGCGCTGCTGCAGCTGCTGGCCGCGGAGGAGGCGTTCCGGCAGCAGCCCGACGGCGCGGGGCCCCAGGAGCTGCAGGAGGCGGCAGAGGCGCTGGCGGCGCCCGCCGCGCTGGCGGCCAAGCCGGGCGCCGCCACGCTCGGCGGCCTCGTGTCGGCCGGCCCCGGCGCCAGGTCCCTGCAGGCGGTGGCGGACAAGGCGGCGGAGCTGTATGCCGCGTGCCTGGGCGCCGCGTTTGTGGACGGCGGCGGCAGCCTGGATGCGCCCAGGCGTGTGTTCGTCGGCGGAGCGGCCGCCGACGGCGAGTGACGGGCACCGGGGAGCATGTCCTCTCCGCTTCAGTCTGCTTCTTGTCGCACTTCTTTGCCATCGAATCGTGATGCACTGTCAAGAGCACCTGCCATACACACGTGCGGAGCAGTGGAGGAAGGGGCGGCGGGCGCCAGCGCCAACGGCGGGGACTGACGGCGGCGGCCCTGTCAAGCCGTAAAGCTGGCCGACGCAGGCATTCCGTGCTGTGCCGACAGGATTCAGCGCAAATGAAATGCCAACCTAATGAAAGCCCTGGACTGCCCCCGCAGCCCCCGGCCCGTCGCTAAAAATGTGCCCCTCGCCTACTTCATCATTTGTTTCACGATCTCGCTCCCTGTACTGAATAAACGAGCTCAGCATACATTTACGAGCTCAGCGGCCTGCCCGTGAAGGCGGCTATGCCCCTCCCGCCACAAACCCGGCACTGGTGAGTGGCAGGGCACCAGTGCATTACATCGAGAGCTCGATGTCGGGAACCGAGCAGAGGCGGTGGTTGCGGGCTCCGGGAAGCGGGGGGGGCGGAACTGCGAACTCGCCAAAACGCCAGGACGGGCCCGCACCGCCGATACAGCAGCACCAGAGGAGCGTGCCCTGCCCGTCAGCCGAGCGGCTGTGGGCACGCCGGCCCTTGCGTCCCTCACCCCCCTCCGCCGTCGCCGCCGTCCCGCTCTGCTGCTGCACCTCGTGTTACCGCAGAGCGACCAGCCTCCGCGACTCTACTGAGGCTGGGGCACGCCCTCTCGGCGGCGACATGGAGGCCGCCGCGCACAAGCTGCAGCTGCTGGCATACACGCTTGCAGCCGACTTTAGCCGGGGCGTGGCCAGCGCCAGCTGCTGCCAGTGCCTCACGCCTGCTCCCTGGCCTGGCGTACTGCGGCCTGGCCGTGAGCAGCCCGGCGCTGGCCGGCACCTTGGTGGCCTCCGCCAGCAGCCCCGCAGGCGAGCTTGGGACGTGTGGGGGCCTCGTGGGGCGGGTCCCGGGGCTTCTGCCTGGATGCATGCAGCCTGTGGCTTTACAGGTGTTCATTACAGCTGGACCACCCCGTCACATCGCCACGGCTGCCCGGCCACCTAGCCCGTCCCCTCCTGCCCCGCTCCTGCCGCCCGTCCCTGCAGACCCCGGCCCCACCACGCTGCAGCTGCACGACCCCCAGTCCTCGGCAGCGGGCGCGGCCCTGGCGGGGGGCAAGCCGCTGCTCGCCAGCCTGCTGGAGGGCGGCGCGGCGGCTCTGTCGGCGGCATGGACAGATGTGCAGGAGATGATGGGCAGCCGACCAGACGCCGCCCACCTGCTGTGCATGCCTTTCGGCGGCAGCACGTCAGCCGCAGCCGGCGACAGCCGATCCCATGCGCATGCAGGCGGCAGCAGTGGCGTACTGCTGCTGGGCTTTGTGGCTGCCCCCAGCCTGGATGCCAGGTGGGCATGGCTGTCAGGGCGCTGGCTCGGCGCCTGGTGCACACAGCATCCCTCGCGACAGCCGGCAGCATGGAGTGCTGCCTCTTCCACTGCGCGGCCACCGCCTGCCGCTGCTCCCCCCCGTCTGCAGGCGCTGGACGCTGCTGGCGGTACTGGTGCGGTACCTGCCTGAGGCTGTGGAGCGCCTGTGTGGCAACACCCTCGCCTTGGTCAGCTTTGCCTGCGGTGCGCCCAAGGCCGCCTGCATTTGCTGCAACGACGGCGAGGAGGGGCAGGCGGAGGAGGAGGAGGAGGCGGAGGAGGAGGGCAGCGAGCATGGCTGCCGCCCAGCCAGCCGCGTTGGCGGTTCCGGCAGCGGCAGCCCAGCTCTGTCTCTCACAGTCAGCGAGACCTCGGGGGAAGAGGAAGGGGAGGAGGAGGAGGAGGAGGGCGGGGAGGAGGCGGCAGCAGGGCGGGCCCAGAAGCAGCATGCAGGGGTGGGCGCCAGCAGCAGCAGGGCGGCAGCAGAGGCGCCGGCGTCGTTGGATGCGCGGCGGCCGCCGCCCCCTGGCGACGCGTCAGTCCGGGCGCCGCCTGCGGGTGAGCACGCCTCCCTGGGAGCCTCCCTTCTTTCCACACGCGCACCAGCAGCAGCAGCAGTTTGTGTGGGGAAGGGATCGATGGCGCGCATGCCTTCGGCCTGCCCCTTAACAGTCTGGGCGCTGCCAGGCAAGGTGTTTGGCATCAGGCCGCCCTGCCCTCCCCTGCCCTCCCCCCCTCCTGGCTGCAGCCGCCTTTAGCAAGGGGCTGCTGGCGGAGGTGGCGGGCGAGCCGCTCGCCGCGCTGCAACAGCACCCCGTCTGGCTGCGCTTCCGATCGCCGGCGGCGGAGCGGGCGTACGGGCGTGGATGGCGGCGCACCACCGCAGGTGGACCGCATGTGCTGCCTGCTGCTCATGGCCGCCGTCGCCATTGTCAGCTTCTCGCAAGTGGGGCGGCTGCTGGCGGGCCTGCTGCTGCTGGCGACCCTCCAATG